TCTACATGCAGAGTCTCTGGATCCTGTTTCTTTGAAACATACGAGGAAGACCTCAGTTATGACAACTCGTAACAATGGGCATATTTTGCTGAAAGACGTCCTGACCACCAGTAATATTCTTCTCTGCACTCGAAAAGATACACCATAATGCTGGAAACCAAGCCCTATAAGAAATTGTTGAGGGAGCTGGTTACACTTAGCCTAAAGAAGACAAAAAGGCGATCTGAAAGACATACTGTATGCAAATATTTGAAGGGCCGTATATTCCTTTTGCATGGAGTTGGGCTCAATGATCAAGTCCTGTTGAGCTCTACTGTAATACTATTTATATTCTCAAAGGACAGGAGGAAGGGGAAACAGATGACCTTTTCATAATCTTGCTTAGCAACTTAGCAGGGCCGTTTGATGTGTTTGTTTTCTTACATTCTTCATTCTTGCCTGTAAGAATGTTCCTAAATTCAATGTTCCTAAGACAAGACGACTTCTAGTCTATACTAGGGAGATCAATCTTCACTGCAGAGAAGTACTGCTGTAAAACATCTGGGCACCCTATGTCTTCTCATTGCTAACCTTAGTCATTTGCCCTTAGGAATTACATTATTCAGGATAGAGACTAGATCTTGAGAAATAATATACATTCATGCAGAACAGAATGGTTTGTTCTTGGATTGAGAGACCTAAATTGGGTGAACTCTACCAAAATGCACGATGGGGCTCAATTCGGGACTCTAAAATTCAATTCCTTGTCCCTCATTGGCTAAATTCTGACCAATTCTCCAGGCTTACAGGCAGAGATACTCAGTGAAACAAATAATAATAAACACACTTCCTTCTCTTTCAGTGCTTTATATGAGAGTACTAAACCATTGAAAATGGGCGGAGGTGACTCGACAATGAGGAATGCAAAACTGGCTTCCTTGCTCACTGTGTTTATGTTTGTTTAAGAATTCCAGTTGTGTGCATAGCACACATTTAGTAACACAGGCTTAATTCCTTCTAATCTTTTCTCCCACCCTGCTGCTTACTACAACAAAGACCAAAATTTAGCAGAAAGGATCAGTTTACGTGAGCTAACTTTAGGGTTTTCGGAAATTATGATGAATTTATTGTTAAAGTACAGAACAGCCAAAAAAGCATTTTTCCCCCACACAAAGGCTTTTGCGTAGTCAATGAAGCAGAAGGAGATGTTTTTTCTGGAACTCTCTGGCTTTCTCTATAATCCAGCGCA